GAAGAAGAAAACAAGATGGCAGCCTTACAAGAAAGATACAACAGCCACCGCAAGTCTTGCTACCCCAGGCAGCCCTGAGTGGAGATCCGCCCAAATGCAGAAGAGGGGAAGGAAGCAGGAGATGTAGAAGTTCGTGCTAATTCGCCCAGATGAGTTTTTAATTCTGCGGATGGAAACACTGGCTCCTGGTGACAGGCAAAGCACGCGGCCCTGAGGGAGATGCACTGTACCGCGTGCCCAGTCAGTGAAACACACACCATACTCACCATAGGCCAAAAAATACACCAGGAGGCCAATAGCAATCGCCAACCCCAGTGCTCCGGCCACAGCAATTCCAGTGCTCTTCCAGGGTGTGAAAAATCTCTTTTTGGTGGCCGACTGGTGAACTCTGAAAAGCAAAGGGAGAACAACATCCCCTGCCTATTAGTAAACGTTCTGGTCATCCCAATCTGCAATTCCCCTCCCCCCATCCCAAACAAAATGCTCCAGAGCAGGACTGCTACCCCAAACAGTCCAAAAGCCTGAGTCGGGCCAGAGTTGGTGGCGGGTCAGCAGTGGGTGCAAGAAAACCAAGTGCAAAACCCCACACCTCTACTTCCCATGCATATGCCTTTAGGGTTTGCCTGGGTCACATTTTCAAGCTACAGTTCACGGTCAAGACTGCTAGAAACCAACTGCCTCCTTTAAATGGAAGCCAAGGGGTTCTCATTACTCCAGGAGCCAGGCGTCTTGCAAAAGACACCAAATACCATGGGACAAGCTCTAAAATTGGGCAAACATAATCCCTATCTTTAAACAGGGCAACAAAGAGGACCCACGAAATTACAAACCTATCCACTGAAATTCAACATTGGAAAGACACTGGAACAGGTTTTTAAACCATTGGTTTGTAAGCACTTAGACGATGATAGGGTTATGGGACTAGAAATTGTCAAGAAAAAATTATGCCAACCTCTTTTCCTTCTTTGACAGGGTTATTGGTCTGGTGAATAGCGGGAAAGGATCAAACACATTAGCTTGGACTTTAGTAAAGCTTTTGATACATGCTCATAATCAGGGCTTGACAAATCTACTCGCCAGCCCCCACTGCTCATGCGCAAGACCCACCTTGCACATGTGCACGCCGCTGATGAACGGGGCGACCGGCTGAAATCTACTCGCCACAGGCGAGTAGATTCAGTGATTTGTTGAGCCTTGCTCATAATAAGCAAACTAATGAAATGTGGCCCAGGTAAAATTATTGCAGGGTGGATGCAAAGCTGGTTGAAAGATAGCACTCCAAGGATATCTCTAGACTACACTGCTCCGTCGACGGAGCCATGTAGATGAGTTTTTTTTTTTAATTGTATCCTTTGGTATATATGGTTGTGACTATTTTCTTCCACTATTTGATCTGAGGAAGTGGGTCTGGCCCACGAAAGCTCATCACCTAATAAACCATCTTGTTAGTCTTTAAAGTGCTACATTGTCCTGCATTTTGCTTCAACTACCCCAGACTAACACAGCTACATTTCTATCACTATTCTCGTGTAAGATTGTCAGTGTTCTTGCGGAAATGCTATGCTGCTCCTGTTCAGGCAAAAGCCCTCTTGCGCAAATCCTTTTGCGCAAGAGGGCCAGAGTCAACAATGCGTTATTGTTTTGTGCAAAAAAGCCCCGATGGCGAAAATGGCGATCGGGGCTTTCTTGCGCAAAACCGCGTCTAGATTGGCAAGGACGCTTTTCCGCAAAAAGTGCTTTTGCGGAAAAGTGTCCATGCCAATCTAGATGCTCTTTTCCACAAATGCTTTTAACGGAAAAACTTTTCCGTTAAAAGCATTTGCGGAAAATCATGCCAGTCTAGTTGTAGCCTATGCGCCAATTCACATACAGAGCCTCAGTCCGGGATTTCAGTACGTACTTAACTTGACCCACACAAATCTCACTGAATTTGTGCATGTGCTGCAACGTTTTTGTTAAACTCGCTGTGGCTTATGATAATTCTTTGGCAACACGAAATAAAATCTGTTATTTGTAGTGGAGCTGTCTCCAAATTGGAATCAGCCCCGTTACGGGACTCAACGCCTTCAGATCAAGTATGTACCCTTTGCTGGATCAGGGACCTAGATCTGAACTTTCCCAACATTTAGAAGGAGATGGATTGGATGGGGACCCTGGATCAATTATAGAAAAATGCAGCAGCTGCTAAATTTGAACAGGGAACCCTGAAGCTGGCAGTGTCTGGTTCAGATCCTGCTTGATTTTAAAAAAAAGTGCAAACAAGCCCAACTGTGCATGTAGAAACAAGAGTCAATGCTGATTCAGCCAGCATTGAAATGCACGGCCCTCGTGCAGCTTTCCAGCAAACAAAATCACTGTCTGTAGTTCTCAGAACCACCTACGCCCTGGAGGTTTTGATTTCTATTTCCTGCCCACGTTTGCCGCCACTTATTTCCAGGAGGAACAAAGCAATGACTTCATGCTGGGGATGTGGCAGGGGCGGCGGCGCCAATAGCTTATGGCTGTTTTACAGGTTGAACCTCTCTAGCCCAGCCCATGGGTGGTGGGTGAAGGCAGAGCTGAGGGAGGCAAGCCTCCAGCCCCACCCCCAGCCCCGCCCCTTCTGCCCAGGCCCCGCCCCCCACTGGAGCTAAGCTACTCCCCCCAGCAGAACAGGGAAGTGGAGCAGTGCATGGCTCTAGCCTCCCCACCCAGTGCATGAGGGGGGTGGAGGGAAGGTGGGCGCTTGGGGGCAGCAACACTCCACCCCCCAGTTCGTAGGTGTTCTGGGGGCAGCGTGTGGGCAGGGCCAGGCTGGCAGTTTGGGAAGACAATGCCTTCCCCCGCTTAGCATACCCACCACCCATGAATCTGACGCCTTGGGATCTGTGCATGGCTCTAGCCTCCCCACCCAGTGCATGAGGGGGGTGGAGGGAAGGTGGGCGCTTGGGGGCAGCAACACTCCACCCCCCAGTTCGTAGGTGTTCTGGGGGCAGCGTGTGGGCAGGGCCAGGCTGGCAGTTTGGGAAGACAATGCCTTCCCCCGCTTAGCATACCCACCACCCATGAATCTGACGCCTTGGGATCTGACAGACGCCAAACCAGAGCGACCACAGGGGAGTCAATGTTGTCTAGCAGCATTCCCAACACTGCCACTGCTTGCTGGGCTCTTAGAAGACATTTTGGGGTGAATTAGAGCTAAAGAACAGCCTAGAACCCGAGAGCCAGAAACAAACTTTATGGGACTGCAGGAAACTTGGCCACACCCATGATAAGTGGGCATCCAGCTCACTAAAATCACGCCGGACTACGGATGTTCCAGACCAGAGAGTGCCGGACTAGAGAGGTTCCACCTGTAGTTGCAAAACTAACACCTAATGAAGGGATCCTGGCAAGAGCGGAGGCTGCAGTGGGTTGCTGAAAAGCAGGTACAGTGGGGTCAAACGTTGTGCTCAGTTACAACCATGCAACCACTCTGAAGTCAGTGACTTACAGTGAACCGCCAGCCAGGTCGGCTTCTGCTCAGGGCACTCTGACATTTCTTTCTTGAGACAGGTCTTCTGAGAGGTCAAGCTAGCATCTGCATTGCTTCCTTGCATTCAGAGATTTCCACTGTAGTTGCAGGCAAGTCTCTTACGTGTTCTGCAAGGGGCAAGCTTCCTTTCCAATCAGGAGGCAGCCACGTGCTTTACTCAGGCCTGGTTTATGCTGGTTTTGTACTGGCAAAACTATTTGGGTTAGGGGTGTGATTTTTTTCCTCTCATACCAAAATAGTTAGATTGTTACAACCTCTACTATGGACGTAGTTTTATCCACATACAGAGTCCCTTATACCCGGTTCTAGAAGATTTACCCAGCATTGATTGGGGCCTTAACTCAATTTAAAAAAAAATGGGGGTTGGGGATGCGGGTTCAGGATGCGGCTGCCCCCGGGAGAGAGGATAACCCAGCCCTCTCTCACTGCAGCAGCTTGGGGCCAGGCGAGAAGCGTCTCTCCATGGCCGCAGCAGCTCCAGCGGGCACAGCCAGGGGAGGGGAGCATGTCTCCCAGCTGGGGCAGGTCCAGGTCTAGGTTCGTCTGCCCCCTGTGTCCCCAGCCAGAGTGAGGAATGCAGCAAACTGGGCACTTTCCCCTCACTCCCTGACCAAGGGGAACAGCCAGCCATGTTCCCATGGGAACTGGGGGGGAGCTTCAGCCCCCACACCCACCCTAAAGGGTGCCTGGGGGGTGGGAGGCTTGGGGCTAAAACAATCCTGGAGGGGGAAGGCCCATCCCCAGCCAGCCCCTTTCATCTGCTTCGTGATTTTATCTCTTTTCTGTATAGTTTGGTGAGACGCAATCCCATTCCAAGCACATCCCGTTTTCCTGGCACCACCAAACACTGACCCTGCTTTAAGTTATGCTAAGAGGAAGCTGCCTACCAAATTTGGTGGTCCCAGCTCTTAGCGTTGAGGAGGAGTTCTTGAACAGACAGACATGCTCACAAACTCTCTCAAATATAGAGTAGATTATATTATATACTCCCCTGCCCTTAAAAGAATAAGCTCTGCCAGCATGACTGCATTCACAGTAGGAGGGTTTTACAGCTTTAAATACACGATAAGGTACTATTAAAACATGCTACCGCAGCTTGTATATAGACATGCCCCTGGGATGTAATGTTGTTCCTAGATGCAATAAAACCCCTGTGAGTTCTCAGCCCTTTGGCTTAGAGAAAGCACAACAAATGAAAAACGACCAGGATATTTCCTATCTGGTTTCATGCTCCAAGACACAGCTCCCTGGCACGGCTCACCCTCACTTTGCATTCCCATCATCATTTACACACTCCAGCTCGCCCCGGGTGCAAGGCTGCACCGGAGACATGTTTCCGCACTGAAAGGCACCGCAACGTAGCTGAATATTCACATAGGCTAGTCGGGATAAAAAGTCGAGAAGGGCGCTGCTATGGCCAGGAGAGGCATCGGTTGAACTAGCTCTTTTCCTTTGTATAGGTCTGCACTGACAATGCAGTATTTGGTACAATCTTTTTTTTTTTTTTTAAAGATTCAACAAGGGGACAATGTCTTACTAAATTCGAGCCCCCAGCTTGCAATGCAAGATCTGAGCCTTTATTCCTTAGCTCCATAAACTACTCCAAGCAGATAGCACTTTCTTTGTCAATTTCAGCGGGGTCTCTTGTGGAGTACGGTGCCTCGCAGGGTATCACAGTCTGTCCCTGAGCAACTGCAGAATCACACAGGCAAAAAGACAGGATTCAGTCCACAGAAGCTTTACCCTTAACAAACGAACAAAAAAAAGCACCTTAATTTGTTCAGTTTGAGGGCAGGAGAGGCCAGCTAAGTTAGGGGAAATATAAGGGACCAGCCTCAGCCATCATGGAAGCCAAAGCTTTAAGGTGCCTTTATAGATTCTTCACACAATGCAGTCAACCTGTGGAACTCCTTGCCAGAGGTTTTGTGAATACCAGGACTTTAATAGGGCTCAAAAAAGAGCTAGATACATTCATAGAGGATAGCTTTTAGACAGGATGGGCATGGATGGTGTCCCTAGCTTCTGTTTGTCAGAGGCTGGGAATGGGTGACAGAGGTGGGATCGCTTGCTGATTCTGTTAATTCCCTCTGGAGCACCTGGTGTTGGCCACTGTTGGCAGACAGGACACTGGGCTAGATGGGCCTTTGGTCTGACCCAGTCTGGCCGTTCTGACGTTTTTAAGATTTAGGCCAGTCTGGCTGCGAATTTCCACTCGAATTTGCTTTTCCAGCCCATGATCCAACTCTCCCATTAAACCCCAGGTTCCCCTCTCATCCAGTCTGCACCCCTCCCCCCTAACCGCAACCTTCCATATCCAGACTAGTGCCTCTCAACCTTTCCAGACTACTGCACCCCTTTCAGGACCCCAATTTGCCTTGTGTACCCCCACGTTTCACCTCACTTACCAACTACTTACTGGCTTGCAAAATCAGACCTAAAACCACAAGTGTCACGCTAACACTGACCAATGGGGCTTCCTTTCTTAATGTTTAAAATAACTCGGTTGGAACATAACTATTGTACTTACATTTCTGCACATAGGACATACAGAGCAGTAGAAACAAGTCGTCGTCCGTAGGAACGTTTAGCGTGCAGGGACTTCCGTGGTGTTTGTGTAATCTGTTGTAAAGTGAGGCAGCTAGCGAGGTGAGGTGAGGTACTCCCTGGAGAGGTTCTCTGCGCATCCCCAGGGATGTGTGTGCCCCTGACTAAGAGCTTTGACCCCGGCCATCCCGTCATCTTGTGCGCTTTCATCCCGTGACCCTCCAGTTAGATTCCCTCCTCCTGCTGCCCCAGCAGCGAATCCCTTGTCCTCTAGGGGGCTCTACAGTTCAGAATGGTCTATCGTGAGTCGAGTGACCGGATATCTCGATTTTATAGGCGCTCTCCCGATATTCAGGCCTTTGTCTGAGATAGGTGCTATTTACCGCCCCCCGCCCCAACCAGGCCTGCCGACAGGGGGCAATTGCCCTGATGCTTGGAGGTTCAAAGGGGCCCAGAGCTCCTGGCTACCGCAGCCCACTGCTACCGCAACAGTAGTTGGAGCCCCGTTGAATTGCCCCCGGAATGCCGCTCTGTGCAGCTCTGAGGGATGGGAGGCGGATGCTGGAGTCTGGGCGGGGCTAAGGGCTGACTGCCTGAGACCCCACCCCTTCTCATAGCCACGCCCCTTCCTTCCAAGGCCACGCCCCTGCAGGGGTGCAGAGCCTCCCCCACACACACCTTGCCCCCATCCCCCAACTCCTTGCCCTGATTTCTCGCACTGAGCAGGATTCTGCCTAAGCGTCCTTGCGGGACGAGAGGGAGAGAGGTGAAGCTACTGGGTTTTAGACCTGGGGAAGAGAAGGGATGACGGAGGGGGGGGCCTCATTCCAGGTCCTTCCGACACACATTAATACAGCCTCTCCCCGACTTATGAACCGGTTATGGACCAAGCAATTGGTCCGTAACTTGGTTTGTTGGTAAGTCGGACCCCATAGCGTTACATGTGACGGTGCTGTTCGTATGCACAGATCGCGTTCGTAACTTGGGGTCCACCATTTACGACAGCTTCGGTCGTAACTGCCAATGGTCGTAAGTCGACCGTTCACAACTCGTGGACCGGCTGTTAAACAACATTCCTCCCGCCCAACCAGCATCCCTGGCTCCAAGTTAGTCTCCAAAGGGTTAAATACGTCACCCACCTTTGCAGGTCCCATGGCAGGCCCCAGGAGGTCTCATAGTATCCTTGGGTCCCAGTCACAGCTCGCCTGACGTCTCGAAAGCCTTGCGAAGGCTGCTGGTACGTGTGATCCCCATACTGCCGGGCCTCGCAGAAACGACAGCACGTGGCACGTGGCTCCGTCATCGAGCGGCTGGCGGTGCCACACTCAGCAGCGTGTGGGCTTACTGCACACGGCGGGAACCAGCACGCGACTCACGCCCCAGGCGGATGTGAGCATGGAGGCAACGAGGAGACGCCGACCTGCCGATCAGCCCCCGGCTGTGCGCGACATGGACAGGCGCGCAGGGGAGACGGGATCTCCACCAGCCGGGAGTCGTCACAGGAAGCTCTCTCGCTTGCCCTTTGGTGTTACTCCTGTTCGGGTAAGGTGGCAGCTCCTAAATGCTCGCACCTTGGTGTGAACTCCAGGTCCTGTCTCCGCCCTTAAGCCTGCATCGTTGGCTCTTCTCCACCACCCCTCCTACCTGACGGCAAGAGAGAACAATGAACAAATCCATAATTGGCTTCCATCCGTTGCGCTCTCCTCAGCTGCTCACTCCTCCCCAGCCTCAGCTTGCATCAGGGATCCCAACCAGATATGCATTTGGCCTTGTAATGATATGGTAGGCACCCTGTGATTAGCATCATCCCTGCCTTTGGGGCTGCGTAGCTCAGGGCGGTAGCCCTCACGTGTGATGTGGGGCAACCGAAAGGGTGTACAAGAAAGTTCTCTCTTCCCTGGAAAAGGGCATGTCCATCCCTCTGCCTTGTGAAGGCACCTTTGAGTCTGAGGGAGGCAGATAGAAGCTGACAGCTGAGGTTGAAAGCTGGTCCCTGATTTTTACTGAAGATCATGTTGTTTGCATGCCCCAAGCCGGACTTTTGGGGTCTTTGGAAATCACAGTGGCAGACCCCTCTGGTTTTAGCTCCATTCGCAGCCAGGTGGGGGCGTCGCTGATATCATGACGCCTGCTTTATGCTCCCCGCCAGCCCAACCCGCTCACTCCTGGGCTGACATCTAGTGTGACGCGTCCTCCGCACACATAGGGGCAGCATACTCCAATGGACGAAGGGTGAGATTTTCAAAAAACACTTCTATCCTCAGAGTTGGCTTTCAGAAGGATCTGGGTGTCTCGTTCCCATAAATCTTTCTGAAACCCTCACCCCAAATACAGGTTGGTGAGACAGCCTGACACTGACTTTCTCCATGACCTTGGCCAAGTCACTTACCGCAAAGAGGTGTGATAAGGGTCACAAGGCCTGAGAAGCCACTTAGGTCACATGGCATCACGAGAGAAGATGGCTCAGGGTTAACGAGGACCAAATCTGGCTGGGACAGCATTGTGAAACCAGGGAGCTGCAAGGGGAAAGGGGCTGAGGGGAAGGAGTCTACGATTGTCACCTGGCAGCCCTCCGGGAACCAGGAAACAGCCCTGGAAGGAGAAAAATAGAACCATGGAGACAGAAGGCCCTGCTAAGATACAGTTGTTGGGTCTAAACTATCCAAGATGGCAGGCTCCAATGAAGGAGCTTCCAGGACACCCCTTGGCAATTTCTTTCATAGTCCTGCAGCTCTTACCTTCAGAAAGATTTTCCTGAGATTTAATCGAAATCTGCTCTGCTGTAGTTTGAACCTACAGCCACTTGGCCTGGCCCATGTGGCAAGAGAGAACAGCTTTTCTCCATCTGTTGATGGTGGCCTTTCAAGTAGGTGAAGACAACTCTCATACCCCCTCTTAACGTCCTTTTCCAAACTCACCTGCAAGCACTGCTCACACGGCTGCACCCCATCCCTTTGATCATCTTTGGCGCTCACCCTGGGATCCGTCCTAGTTTCTCCACGTCCTTTCTGCGCATTGGTGGCCAAAACTCGACACGCTACTCCAGCCCAGGTCTCACCTCCCACAACTTGCAGGCTTGTGCCTCTGTTAATGCCAGCTAAGCGACTGAGGCACTTTTGCAAATTGGTGGCCTGCAGTCGGAAGAATCCAGATGCACCCACATCAATCCCGTGTCCAGACGCTCGACGTTTATATACCGTTTAGTCCAGTGACGGCCAACCTGCAACCCATCAGGTTTCTATGCGTAGCCCACGAGACATTTTATTCACCATTTCCCACATGCAGGGTTGCCACGTTCCTTCCTCTGGATTCATTCCGCGTAGGTTTTTTCATACCGATATTACTCAAGTAACACGTGCATAAAGCCAAGGCACGGGAAGTGAGGTGGTTGCTGATTGCACAAGACACTGTGAATGCCGGGCGTTCCTTCTTATCCAATCCCAGCGCTGCTACGGTACCATCGGCCCTCCCCCTGCACATTCTACAGACGCAAGCGCAGGGAGCAAAACTGCCCTACCCCGAGAGACCGTCTTGGTTACGACAAACGCGGGCCCCACTGAGACGATGGAGGGCCACTCTTGCAGCCCAGCTCACTAGCCTCGGTTGCCCAGCACTGTTTTAATCCTTTAAATGCCCACGTTGCATCAGCGAGGAAAAGGAGCCTGAGATCTCTTTGCTGCCTCCTCCCCTCAGCACTGTGCCAGGAAGTTGGCAGGGTGCTGATGCTAGCTCACTCTTAGCCAGTCTTCATCATTCCACAACAAGGAATAATCTCTCTAAACAGCCACCGCCCCTCAATCTGCACAATGGTGCAACCATCATGCCCTCTGTGACAGGGCATGCGTACCCTGCACTGGGGCAAGAGGGCTTAATGCCCTTTGGGTGGAGGAAGTCCTGTTCCCATGATGCTTAGGCGCACCTGGCTTGTGTGTCAGTACTGAACCTTGGGGGAAAAAACACGCTGTACACTTTCTCTTGCTATCCCGGCACTGGGAATCGTTGGGGAGGAGGGAGAGCTGTTTTATTTTTGCTGGATCTAATCCCTGCCAACACTCTGGGTGTGTCTACACCAGCGTTTCCCAATTTTATTTGGACATGGAACCCTTTTAAACTCAAAAGAATTTTGCGGAACCCCTAACAGTCTAATATATGGAGCTGAAAAGGTAGACCACAAATAAGTACGGTTAATAATAAACAAATGCTCAACAAGGTCCTGAGATCAACATTTAGTTTAATTGCACATATTTTTAAAAAATTACGTAATATTAATTATTTTTTTTAAATCATAAAATGTGATGGTAATGGAATTTTCTCATGGAACCCTTATTTTTACTTCGCGGCTCCCCGGGGTTCCTTGGAACACCATTTGGGAAACACTGGACTACACAGCAAAGCTATTCCGAAATAACGGACGTTATTCCGAAATAACTACGCGAGCGTCTCCACGGCCATTCTGTTATTTCAAAACAATTTCAAAATCACAGAGGGCTTATTCCGACTTCTGTAAACCTCATTCCACGGGGAACAGCACCTCTTCTGAAACAGCGATTTCTAAATAAGGCGTGTGTAGACGTTCCACTTCCGCTATTTCAAAATAGCCCCTCCCTAGGGCCATTCTCAGTTATTCCTCCTGGGGCTCCAAATCGAGAGCCTACGTTAGGGGAGCCGGCCTCGGACTCATTTTGAGGCTTCCCTGCAGTGTAGACGTAGCCTCCGGGGTCTTCTCAAGTGGACTCTGGCACTTCGGACTCTCATTCCACTGTGCTTCCATGCTAGCTACATCCCCCCAAGTCTTCCTACGTCCCCCCTCCCCTTTACTTCTAGTGAGAATAAGGCTTGACCAAGCGTACTGTGGCGTTCTTGCTAGCGCTCTGCGGCTGCTCTTTGACAAGCCAGAGGCCCCCCACGCTGCTGCCGGCATTTGGACCCCCACGTTGTGGGAGAAGTGGCCCCCAACACCAACAGGTGCTTGGCCTGCCTTGTGACTCTGAGGGAGAGAGAGACAGAGCACAAACTCCCTGGGTGTTGGAGCCAAGCAAGGTGACGCAAAGGCAGGCGTGAAGGAAATATCACTGTGAACCTGAAGGCCTGTATCCAAGACATTGGCTTCCACAGTTGGTAGGAGGCTTTGAGGTCTGTGAAGTTGGCACTGAATAATGGCCTGACTGTTTTTGGGAACGGGGAAGGTGCATGGGGGGGAGGGGAGAGAGACGTGTCCGTCAGGTACCACAAGAATACTGAACTGCTACTAGGCTTTGCTTATTTTGGGACAGGCACATCCACAGCTGTCTGACCACAAGAGCGCCCTGGCAACGAATTGCCATATATAAGCTGAGCTCATTAAAGGACTAAGCCATGGGAGGAACACACCAAACACATGTAGGTGAGGTACAACCAGTAAGGAAAAGAGGTGAAACCGCTACTCATCAGGCTTCACACCTCCTGGTGTCAGCATGACACATCAAAATTGTGTCGGGCCTATGGGTTGGGGGGAAAGGCAGAGGTACGGGTACCCAACGGCCAAGGACAGTGGCGATGAGGAAGACCATGGCTAACGTTCTAGGTTGTTCTGCACGAGATGGGACGAGCACATGGATATCCAAAGGTACATGCTGCATTGTCTGTGTCTACCACAGTGACTATGGGTACGTCTAGACTACCGCGTTTTGTCGACGGAAGTTTTGTCGACAGATACTGTCGACAAAACTTCCGTCGACAATTTGCGTCCAGACACATGGAGTTCTGTCGACAAAGCAAGCCGCTTTGTCGACAGAACTCCGTAGTCTGGACGCAGTGTTACAGGCAATAACACCTTCTGTCGACAGAGTTCTGTCGACAGAAAGTGTTATGCCTCGTAAAATGAGGTATACCAGCGTCGACAAAACCACGGAGTTCTGTCGACGTTATGTCGACAGAACTCCGCGGTAGTGTAGACGCTGGTATTGTTTTGTCGACAAAAGTCCACTTTTGTCGACAAAACTAGGTAGTCTAGACACACCCTTTGATAACTGCCGGATTTTCCTATGTATCCGGGTTGCTCCCATACCCCTTGGGGTTCCCATCTGAACAGCAATTTCAACAATATTGGGTGCGATCTTGGGACAAGACCTATCAAATTTCTAAGTGTTAACTAGGAATTCTTAAGTAGTCAATATAATTAATTCATAATCTATAGATCAGGCAACGCATTGCTCATCCCAACCATGTCAGCAGGGGATCCACCCGCATCAGCACAGGGGAACTCCCAGAGCGCCACAGAGGTGAAATCAGGTCTCTTCTCACCAACTGTTGTAGAGGTCTGTAAACAGTGAGGTGGAATGAAATCTTTCCAAACAAACCTTTTTTTGGAGATGAGGAGAGGACAAGCACAAAAAATGCGGATTTGGATACATCAAAATGTTTCATGATTTTCAGTCCGTTTGACTGAATTGTGTATTTCCCCTCCTGCAACACACCCCCACCCCCAATGTTTAAAACAAAATGTTTCATTTTTCAAAAATATTTCAGATTTTTTTAGTCTGAATGGACTTTGCTTCCAAACGTCCTTAAATTTTATTTTCTAACATTATTAAAATTTAAAAAGTGTTCAGAATGGAAGCAAACGACAGGCTGAACCTCTCTAATCCAGCACCCTCAAGGCCTGACCGGTGCCAAACCAGAGAATTTGCCGAAGCAGACGGCCAATATTGTCTCGCAGCATCACCAACATTCCCACTGCCTACTGGGCTGTTAGAAGACATTTAGGGATCAATTAGAGCTAGATAACAGCCCAGCACACAGACCTAGGATGAGTGGCTGTAAACAAACTTTGAGACTGTGGGAAACTAGGTCACACCCATGATAAGTGGACATCCAGCTAACTCAAATCACGCCGGACCCTGGAGGTTGCTGGAGCACAGAGGTCGCTGTGCCGGATTAGAGAGGTTCAACCAGTATTTGGTTTGACCCCTGGGGGCCTAAAGTGAATCTCCTGCAGCCGTATTTTGGCATCAGACCTACTTTGCACGTCTATGAAGCTGCCTTAGACTTGAGTTGAGAAGCCCATCTCTGGATGAGAAATGTGTATATCTAAGTAAGGGAGTAACGTCGCCTTCTAGTGGCCAGCATGGTAGCTGCTGTTGTCTGTGCTACAGCTTGTCCCAAACAGCTGGCTCAATAATGTTGGAGTAAGAATTTTATCTTACATTATTAAACCTAAACTGCAAATATAGAATGGTAACACATTTAACATTTTATTAAGTAAACCCTTTAGTTAAATATATATTTCTTTGTTTTAAAGTTTAGTAAGTAAAGAGACAGGGTTTTGGTATTGTGTCTATGTTAAGGAGATTAGAAATATTGAAGGCCCGGGCGTTGGATGTGAATTACTTTGATTAAGGTTTAATTTACAATGCCTTTTTCTTGTTATAAACACTGCTATTTGTATATCTTTGAAGGTCTCTGTGAGAAAGACTGTGTGAGTGAGAAATGTTTCAACATAAAGATAAGGCGTGAAGGTCAGTGTTGGAGCCAGATGGCCAGGAAAGGAGGGGGTAACTGGGTGAAGACTGACTACAAAAACAGACTCATCGGCGTCAGAAAATACATCAGTGTGTACCCATGGTCAGGGACTGGCAGAATTCACGGCTCTAAAGGTGAAGGGTGGGCACCCCTGAAAACAACTGATTAAATCCAGGAAGGATGACTTTCTCAGAGATGTCTGGAATGGAAACATCAACAGATAACACCGGACACAGACTGGCACAGTAAAATCCATAGAGGAAAGGATTATAAAAGCAGGGTGCTTTGCCATGGAACTTTGGGTTCATCCTGCCACCAATTCCAGGAGAGCATCAAATCGCGACCGACAAAGCCTGGGTCCCCCTCTGTGATTGATCTGGCTGGCCACTAGATTGAACCAGACTCTGGACTGGTAACTATAACATCATCTGGCGGGACTGTGTGTCTGGTGTTTGTGCGTGCGTGTGACTGAAAAGATTATGCTACTGTTGTATTCTCAAGAAATGAGGCGTACTGCCCTATCCCCTACAGAAGATCTCACGTGCTTTGTTTAAGCATAACAAGAATGGTGCTGGAATTATCAGAGGAGCCTCCAAGACCTAGTTCTGCCTAGCATGGAGAGGGCTGCCCATGTGAGCCTGGTCCCTTGAAGCCAGATTAAACATTCAAAAGTCCTGATTGTCGTTTACATGGCAGCTGCTTGGCACCACTCTGGCAACGCAGAAGAGCCTTCGAAGAGGGAGTGACTGTAATTTACGTCCACTCTAAGGCCCCCTTCCGCTGCCAGATCAGTGAGGCACCTGGACAGGGCCTTTCTAAAGCAGCTAAGGGCTTTAGGAGCCTAAATTCCATTTTTGAAAAGGGCTTAGGCAGTCAGCAGCCAATGTCCATGGCACATTGAGGTGCTTTTGAAACTGGTACCTTTGGCATCAGAGAGGGTCAGGCCCATGGAGTGCAGGCTGCACAAGACTGGGGCAATAACAATAACCACGTAGCATTAGCTGTTCTGCCACACACGACAGACTCCAGAATCCCGTTTCCTGTTATGCCCCAGGAAACAGACAATCACGCTGAGCCACGGTGACCAGGTTTAAAAATCCATTTTTAATAACTGTACACATGAAACGCACATCGATTTTTGACACCGCTCCGGTTTCCCACCCTGAATCCCAGCCAAAGTTACTTGCCGTTCCAGCTTCAGTGCTGACACGGACTCCGGGTTTTGGACGACGCTTCCTAGGACGGACACAGGCCCCCGCTTCAAAACCAGGCAAGGGGACATATCGGCGAGAGAGACAGACAGGAGGCAAACCGGCCAACTGTGAACCCAGCTAGTCAGCAAGTCCCTGAATTGTATGGACGCGCGGCCTCCTCCACTTTCTCACAGGCAGGGTTGCTGCTGGGGGTGAAGAAGGCAAAGGGGGCAGCAGGCCTAGGGCCCAGTGATTTTAAAGGGCCCGGAGTTCCCAGCTGCCACTACTATTGTAGCTGCAGCAGCAGCCAGAGCTCCACACACACACACCCCTTGTCTAGGGGCCCATGGAAACTGTCAGCTGCACTGCCGGCCTTCTGAATGGCTTTCTAGAATGGTTTCCAGTTCAGCCTGTCATTAAACATGAGCTATAAGGGCCTGCTTTTTAAAGGGTCTGTCCCCTGCCTCTGATTTTGCACCACTAACCAACTGCAGGCACAAAATTATAGAGCTCAATTATACCGGTCACCTGATTGTGGGGCTTAATCAGCATTTACGCCAAAGAGAGCCTAAGGGAATGAGGTATATCACTGAAATTCAGTGGAATTTGGGTGCCTAATTCCTTTAGGCCGCTTGAAATTATCAGCCCAAAGTACTGTGCAAACTAGTTCACAGTCACTTGCACGGGGGTTCTCGATCCATAGATTCACAAATTAGATCCAATGCCTAGAACGATGACTGCTATCACCAGAAAAAGAAACACTCTGATGTAGCCCTTTGCAGTCAAGCGCCTGTACTGGGCAGTTACCCCGCACCAAGCGCCTGTACCAGGCAGCTACCCTGCACCAAGCACCTGTACCGGGCAGTTACCCTGCGCCAAGCGCCTGTACCGGGCAGTTACCCCGCCCCAAGCGCCTGTACCGGGCAGTTATCCCGTGCCAAGCGCCTGTACTGGGCAGTTACCCCACCCCAAGCGCCTGTACCGGGCAGTTATCCCGTGCCAAGTGCCTGTACTGGGCAGTTATCCCATGCCAAGCGCCTGTACTGGGCAGTTACCCTGCACCAAGCGCCTGTACCAGGCAGTTACCCCGCGCCAAGCTAAGTTCTGCTACAGTACCACAGTGGCTAGTCTGACTGCAGGGCTGACCACAATGGGAAGACACTTTCATATACACTGTTTTTCATACACCACACAAGCCAGAGCCTTGAAATACAGCACAGCCTGGTACAGGGGTTTGACGACACCGTGTTGCATGAGACACACATCCATCTAGAAATGCATTAAAGTGCCAGTGGCTTCATGGTATAATTGAAGGTAAAAATACAATACAGCCATAGGTCCCAATGCATCACTCGGCTCTTCCAAGGACTGGCATGAGGCAGACGGTCCTTTTTTTTGGGAGGTATCTATTGGCTGGTAGCACTGGCCTGGATGCAGTTTTCAGTGACCTGGCTGGCATTTCCTCTGCTGATGACTCTCTTCTCGGATGTGTACGGTGATAGCTGGGGGTGGGACATCATTGATCTAGCAATCTGTTGGCTATCTAGTGAAAGACAGGACTGCTAAGCTATGCAGGGGGCAGAGTTAAGGTGAGGCACTGAGGAATCATAGAACATTAGGGTTGGAAGAGACCTCAGGAGGTTCTCTAGTCCAACCTGCTGCTCAAAGCAGGACCAACCCCAACTCAATCATCCCAAGCCTGGATGTCAAGCTGGGACTTGAAGGTTTTTAAGGATGGAGATTCCTCCACCTCCCTAGGGAACCCATCCCAGTGCTTCCCCGCCCTCCTCGGGAAACAGTTTTTCCTAATATCCAACCTGGACCTCTCCCACTGCAACTTGAGCCCATTGCTCCTTGTTCTGCCACCTGCCACCACTGAGAACAGCCTCTCTCCATCCTCTTTGGAACCCCCCTTTAGGAAGCTGCAGGCTGCTCTCAAATCCATCCTCACTCTTCTCTTCTGCAGACTAAACAGACCCAAGTCCCTCAGCCTTTCCTCATAGGTCATGTGCTCCAGTCCCCGAATCATTTTTGTTGCCCTCCGCTGGACCCTCTCCAATGCGTCCACATCCTTTCTGTCACGGGGGGCCCAAACCTGGACACAATGCTCCAGCTGTGGCTTCACCTGTGCCAAGCAAGTTGCTTCACACATCTGGGTATGGTTCTGCATCTGTGAGGCTCTCCTCCACAACAGTGAGAAGTGGAGGACTTGGAGGGGGCGGGGGTTGAAAGGCTCAGGAGAAAAGGCTGTTTGGGATGAGGAGTGGAATGCCTGGCCTGTATTGGTGCCTGCAGTGGGATACAGTCTCTGCTTTGCTTCCTGATGGAAGGGAGGGAGGAGAGATGAAGGGGTTATGTAGGCAGAGTGCTTTAGGACAGGGACTGCCTGCTATTCTTGGTTGGCTCTTAGGCACTGCTGTAATGCGTCTGCTCAATAAATGTCCCCTGGCTCAGAGCTCCTCTGAAGTTCAGACAAGTCAGAGGTGTGCCTTTCTGTTAGGGATTACATGTTAGCATGATTCTGTTAGCATGTGGATTACACATTGGCCAAAGGTTTGTGCGCCTGACATAACCTGGTTCACACGTGGCCTGCCTGGCCACGAGTGTCGAGTAGCTACTGCATCTAGAAGATATCCCCAGCAGAAGGTACTCGGTGACACAGCCCCATGTGGCCCTGCAGGAGAAGACAGCAATACTGGCCTTTGGTACTAACATGGTTCTGATGCCAGCCATGGAGTTGCAGTTGAAGGCCACGTGCGGTGGCCTCCTGGTAATGCCCTGTGCTGCCACGGAGTGAAATTTCGTTGACGTCCATGCCTGTGCTGGGGTAACGCAGGCAGCCAGGCACTCGGCGACTGGAGGAAAAGGCCATGGCGACTGGCGAGCTGCGTGGATGGGCTCCAACCAGGGGGACATTGTGCTCGGCGAGGAAGACGGTGGCCAAGACGGCCGATCCCAGCAGGAGGGGAGCAGCGCAGAGGGTGGAAGGCAAGAGGGTTCTCAACCTTCGGTTGAGGATGCAGGATAACGTGCCTTGCCCGGAAGCAGTAGATACACTTTCCAAGCCAGACAAACCAGTCAGTGTATGGTGCTCTTGGGGTAAGTCCGTTCGCACCCCGGGCAGGCCAGAGCGTTTCAGAGTTTGAAGACAAGTTGCCAAGCAGCCAGAACGTTACCCCAAGCTAGAACCGGCACTTGCTTCAGACAGTTACAGAGCACAGTTTTTTGGGGCTCCTGGCTTGCTTAACCCACACTTCAGATGCCAGTTTTAGCAGCGATCCAATTCCGATAGTAAGTCACTCGTGTGTAGACGCCAGGTTTATTTCTTTTAGCACATTCGTCTCCCCAGCTCACTATTCCAACAAGGTACCAGATTCCTCTAGAGTCGGCAGTCACAAGGGGGCCCCCAGAGTCACCCTACAAGGGAGAGAGAGGTGGAATTCAGCCGCGAGCAAAGCAAGGAGGCCTCATTTAAACAGTAAAGCACCTATCAAAGCTAACTGCCCACATTCTTTTACTAAGTAACATCACACGTGAGAATAAGATCCCAGGCGACTGCCTGGTGAGTAAGTCATCTCTGGTATTCCCGAAGGATTTTTTTCCACTAATTTCACTCAAACGTTGGGTCTTCCGGTCCCAGTAAGGAAAGCAGAGGAGCCCTCTCTATTCTTCTGTTCTTTGGCAGGAGACTTACTCTAATAGCGTTATTTTAGCTGTGCACAACGTTAACCGAAGAAACGACACAGGCATACCGGGGCCCAGGTCACTGTGTATATTGAATACATGTTCTTGCCAGGCTCTAGTGACTTCGAAATCATACAACTGTGAGAGCCACAAGAGGGCTCGTGAACTATTTTGAAGGATTGGCACTCCCCCGTTCCTAGCCATTCCACGTGGCTTTTGCATATGAGGAATCCAATACAATCCCAGCTTTGAAATGGACTCCTTTGTCCGTGGAGACGAGAGGTTCTCAAACTTTTTGACGCACGGCCTGGCCCGCTCAAAGCAGACTTTTCCACAGATCTCCAGCCTTGATGACAAAATGGATGTAGGAGGGGGTGAGGGAATCAGGCCAAGAGGGAGATTGGGCGCAGGAGCAGGGGCGGGGTGAGGAAGGGGAACACCTCTCTGGATTGCGAGAAAAGCTTGAAACAGCTTCAGGAGAATTCAAACCTCACTGCGTTTACTGAGAAGATGGTCAAGGTCATTATGTGTCCTCCAGCATATGGCAGTGAAACCTTTATGCCATACCACACTCACATACACACACAGGCAAAATTCTCACCTGGACTACTGAAGTCAGCGGAGCTATATGAAGTCACACCTCCGAGAATCAGGCCTTTACTGTTTTATCATCACCGTTACTTAGGGAACATCCCCATGTTCAGCACTGCAAACCTCTCCTAACACAGGGGTATGTCTACACTACAGAGGGGTTTTTTTTTTCAGAAAAATGGCCATTTTTCTGAAAAAAAACCCCACTCTTACATCCACACTGCCATTGCATTCTTTTAAGAAAAAAAAAGAATCAAAAGAACAGAGGGGTTTTTCCAATATTGGTAAACCTCTTTCTATCAGGAAGAACGCCTTGTCTGAAAGAGCTCTTTCACAAAAAGGCGTGTGTGGATGGGGAAGAGGGATTTCTTTTGATAGAAAAGAAAAGAGGAAAAAGCACAGGTGCCCCCGTGGCCACTCCACCCATAGTAATCACAGCATACATGCAAGACAGCATCCATTCATTGTGGACGCTATGGGTATATCTAGACTACAGGCTTTTGTTGACAGAGGCTTTGTCAACAAATACCGTTGACAAAGCTTCTGTCAACAAAGAGTGTCTAGACTACAGCCAGTTCTGTTGACAAAGCAAGCCGCTTTTTTGACAGAGTCTAGACACTTTCTTTTGAAAAAGCACAGTGTGGATGCAATAGCACCTTTTGTTGACAGAGTTCTGTCGACAAAAGGCGTTATTCCTCGTAGAATGAGGTTTACCGCCATCAACAAAACTGCCGCGTTCTGTCAACAGAACTCGGCAGTAGTGTAGACGCAGGTATAGTTTTGTCGACAAAAGTCCACTTTAGTTGACAAAACCCTGTAGTCTAGACACACTCTATCTGTCGAAAAAGCAGATCACTTTTTTGATGCACTTTGGCAGTGTGGACGCGCTCTTTCAGAAGTAGTTTTTTCGGAAGATCTCTTCCAGAAAAGCTTCTTCCGAAAGAAGCCTTCAGTCTAGAGATTCTCTATCTTTCTTTCTTAGCATCATCCCTGGATTTTTACAGTCTGTTGCCCTGGGGCTTTTGGAGGAAGACGTGACTAATCTGCTCTGAAATTATGGCACGCAATTGACTACCCCTTCTCTGCCCCATTCCCACTAGAGCTCCGACTTCTGTAAAATCAGAATTCATGGACAGAGGCGTTGCCTGTTAAAATGTGTATGTTGGGTTTGGGGACCACCAGGTGCAGGGAAGTATCTGCCAGCAGTTCTCGGCACTGCGTTTAGACCTACCTGGCAGGCATCGATTTTCCCCTCCAAGTATCCAGCACACACCATCCCCGGCGAGATGAACCCACTGTACACTTCTGCTCGGTTGCAAATGTCTGTGTCTATGATCTTCACTTCTGCCTGCCGCAGGTTATTAACGCTTGGGCCTAAAAGGGGGAAAAAGGGTTTTGAATTTTCAAAAGGATTCTAGAAATCCCAGGCCTGGGAGGAGCAGGTGGAACCAGACCATCACAAAAGCTCAGCTCTCATTTCAGCCCCCTCCGTGAAGGTTGAAGTTTGAGAAGAAAACCGTTTATCCTCCTTAAGACTCTCACGTGCCCGCCCCCTAAGGTGTCTTATTCCAAATCCCCCATACCGTTCTTTTGCCTACCTCAGCCCTCTAATGTAATGGGCACAGGGATTTTTTGGGCATGTTCTGGTGCTGTAGTCCAGCTGGGCATGGTGGAATGAATACTTGTCTATGGCCATGTCTACACTAAAGGGGAAGGTCGCACTGAGATACGCAACTCCAGCTACGTTAATTATGTAGCTGGAGTCGACGTACTTTGATTTGAGGTTCCCCGCCAGGAGACCGATAGGAGCAAATGCTCCTGTCAGCTTCCCTTACTCTTTGCATGAGCAGGACTACCAGCTGTGGATGGGGATGCCCTCGGAGTTTCATTTAGCAAGTCTTAATTAGACCCTCTAAATCAAACTCCGGAAGATTGATCATGGCAGCGTCACTCTTCCCCGGAGCGTAGACATGACCTGTGAGATCAGAAAGACCCAATCAGAATGTGGCTCTGGACAATCCATGACCACAGTGAAAGTCTAATATAGGCCTGGGCTCCAATTTGTCTCATGGATGGCAATGTAGGTTACAATTAAGCATGTGCTCCTGGGCTTTCCCAAATTGGCACCTCGATTAGGACAGGTTGAGTGAAGAGAACTTCTATGGCAAGTCTAAAGGTTCTGAAAGCTCCATCACTGGAGGTTTTTAAAAGCAGGATAGACACACACCAGTCAGGGATAGTCTTGATGGGGCTTGGTCTTGCCATGTGTGCAGGGGACTGGACTTAGAATCATAGAACAGTAGGTCTGGAAGGGACCTTAAGAAGTCATCAAGTCCCATCCCCTGCCCTCATGTCATGACCAAGCATCATCTAGATCATCCCTGACAGGTGTCTATCTAACCTGCTCTTAAATATCTCCTGAGTTGGAGATTCTACAACCTCCCTAGGCAATTTATTCCAGGGTTTAACCACCCTGACAGTTTGGACGTTTTTCCCAATGTCCAACCTAAACCTCCCTTGCTGCAGTTTAAGACCATTGCTGCTTCTCCTATTATCTGTGGCCAAGGAGAACAATTTTTCTCCCTCCTCCTTGTAACAGCCTTTTAGATACTTTGGAAAGGAGAAGTCTGAGAGGGGACATGATAGCAATTCTAAACTAAATGAGCACAATTCTTTCATCTTTCCCTTATAGGTCATGTTTCCTAGACCATTCTTGTTGCTCTTCTCTGGACCTTCTCTAATTTCTCCACATCTTTCCTAAAATGTAGCGCCCAAAACTGGACACAAGACTCCAATTGAGGCCTAATCAGCGCAGAGCAGAGCTGCAGAATGACTTCTCGTGTCTTGCTCCCAACACTCCTGTTAATGCGTCCCAGAATCATGTTTGCTTTTTTTACAACAGTGTTACACTGTTGACTCACATATAGCTTGTGGTCCACTATGACCCATAGATCCCATTCTGCAGTACTCCTTCCTAGACAGTCGCTTCCCATTCTGTATGTGTGAAACGGATTGTTCCTTCCTAAGTGGAGCACTTTGCATTTGTCCTTATTAAACTTCATCCTATTTAACCCTGTGCCCATTTCTCCAGTTTGTCCAGATCATTTTGAATTATGGCCCTGTCCTTCCTATGACTTGAAGACTCTGCGAGGTCCCTTCCAGTTTTATGATGCGATGGTTACACAAAGTGGATACCGGATGTAAAAACAAAGGCCATGGTGCTGAAAGGAAGTTGGTGACAATGCGTAAACAAAGTCTGCTTAGCCAGAGTAATGGCAGAATCAGGAAGGAGGGACTCTTTCCGCGTCTCTATGCTAGAGACTTGCAGCTCTGTCATATCCCAGGCTACCATGTGAAAGCCCATGTCTTGGGCTACTACAGTGAGCTGAGCTCCTTTGTGTATAACATGTCCGTGCTTTCAGCCTGGCTGCCAAATCAAGTAATAGATTTGAAAGTCAGAGGGAACCACTCGGATCATCTGGTTTGACCTCCTGTGAGGCACAGGCCAGAGAATTTCACCCAGTGACTCCTAACGTGGAAAGAAGTATTCTTCCCTGCTACATAAGTGACCCCAATTCAGCCCAACAGCTGCTGGTCACACAGGGGCCTCATTTAGAGAGCTGCGCACTCCCGAGTGAAAACCATTGAGACAGAATGAACGTACCACTTCCGCCACCACACTCATCAGAACGAGAAACACCGTCGGTTGCCCCATGAACGGAAAATGACCTAAGTATGGAAGCTCAGGGCAGGGCTCTTCGTGCAGACACTCACCGTCGTCCTGCAATGCACCCCATCCCGTGACGAAGCAGCTGGTGTTGGGGGGGAAGACGCTAAATTCTTCGGGGAGGCAGACCTTGCGTATGTCACCTGAGAACTCGACGGGGGAGGCCAGCTGGACGACCGCGATGTCGTACTCGTGGTTGCGCAGGGTGTCCGTGTATTGTTCGTGAACGATAATGCTGCGGAGGTTGCGTCTGCCCTTCGGAGGCCGTATCACGGTTCCAAAGCTAGCCGCCCACAGGCTGGGATTCCGTTGGCTGGAAGAGATACCAGATTCAATCACAGACACACAGACCATTTTGCCAAGCGCTCAGCTCCGTTGGGCACCCGAAAGGCAGGCAGCACCGAGAGCACGGCCAGAACACAGCTGTGCTCCAGCAGTCCCTGGAGGGATGTTGCCTGCTGGGGTAAGTTAGAACAGCCCGAAGGTTGCTCTAACTTGTGTTGGTGAGTGAGTGGAAGCCTAGGCGCCCAAGAGTTGAGTGGAATTGAAAGGTAGCGTACAGCCATCTTGCATTTCCACCACCTCTCCAGTCTCTCCCTAAGCGCAGCTCAGCCAATCAGGAGGCTCAGGACTGGATACAGTGAGGGGGTTCCTTCCAACTTTCTAAAAGTTGCAGAATTCCAAGCTGTATGGCAGCAGAGAAGTTTACAGCATCCTTTCTCCGAGCTGGGATCTTACCCTCTAAAGCAGTGGGCTGCCGTTACAAGCCACGAGTCACTGATCAGCGTTGCGCCGCAGCGATGGATACCACTCAGCTGGAGACTAGCCTGCCACGGCCACGCCCCTTCCTGCGCAGTCCTGCCTCCGGTTATTCTGTCCGAGTAGAAAGGCGAATTCAATATTCGTATCCCACAGCCTATCAAAGAAAGGACCAACTTAGCTGCACTGCTCCCCAGGAGAGAGAGACAGGCTTTTGTTTGGCGTGTGAACCCAGCGCGCTGAACACAAAGGGCTGCCTGCATTGTTAGAACGTGGGGAAAAAAAATCGAACAAACAGCATTCGTTTCAACAGACATGATACTGCAGCTGCGCTGGTATTCACCCACAGTTACACAGTGAGAGACTTTACAAACACATGCGTACATCCTGCACCTATATTAGAGGCTCAGAAGACAGATACAACGATAACAAAAACCGAACTGTCTTAAATAAGAATGATTCAAGATACATTCTATTTATAATTCTGCTATCTTTTATCTAAACATATTACTCCTCTCATCTTGCTGCATAAAGAAAAACACCATTATTATTATTACTTTAAATAAGAAGATCTCTTAAAGAATAATTAAATATTTAAACACAAAATGCATACCTAAATCATAATTCCTAAGTCAAAAGCAACTGCAGCTAGGATGTATCTATACACAAAGCTTTAACCAAAATAAACTAAATTTGATTACCCATTAGCTGTAAGATCAACATTTGTCTGGAGGAGTCAGAAATATGGATTTTTGGTGAGATCTATGAAAGTGTATTTTCTACAACAGATTGAATTAGGTCTATAAATAAGCAAATAATTGGCATTAGGGTTTGTGGACTGGCTTAAAATATCTAATTCCATGTCCAGTTTGAGAAACAAAACTGACATTTTTTCAAAAAGTTGCATCAACTCGAAAGAAGTGTTTCATTTGAAATAGATCTGAAATAGTTTGGTCAATTCAATATGAAAGTGTATTTTCTACAACAGATTGAATTAGGTCTATAAATAAGCAAATAATTGGCATTAGGGTTTGTGGACTGGCTTAAAATATCTAATTCCATGTCCAGTTTGAGAAACAAAACTGACATTTTTTCAAAAAGTTGCATCAACTCGAAAGAAGTGTTTCATTTGAAATAGATCTGAAATAGTTTGGTCAATTCAA